GGCTGCATCAGTGAAAAAACAAAAGAAAAAAGCCCTTTCCTTGTGGAATTTACATTCTAGTCAGCAGAGGCGGAAGACAAACATCAATTAAAAGCAACAAGATGCTGTGCAGTGGTAATGCTTGGAGGAAAGCTAATGTGCTAAGGGGACAGGTGGACGAGGTGGCAGCTGACAGTGTCCTCCTACAACATCAGGAAAAGGTGCAAGCATAGCCCTGGCAGAAGGACCATTCCCCAGAGGAGACAGCCCAAGCAGAGGCTGTGAGGTGGGACCCGGCTTCGGGCCACTCACTGGCATGCATTAAAGGCTCGCTGCTCTTGTGGCGGTGTTATTTTCATCCATTCACTCATGTCCAACACTCAGGACGACACTTAGGCAAATTTGTGTGGCCAGAAGATGGCAAGGGCTGGGGACCTTTGCAGAACCCTCCTTTTGCTTCTCCCAGAGGGTTCTAAAGCAGACCTCTGGGGCACCGATGGTCCCTAACCCCACACAGCGCACTGGGAGAGCTGCAGAGCGTCCCTGAGAGCTGCAGCTCCTGCGCAGGGACATGGCACCAAGAGGCACGCCTACTGTCCTCTCCAGGCCTCTGAGCCCTGCCAGACTGATGGGCTTCTCGCTTCCTGGTTCTCATTCCTCCTCTATGCCTGAATGGAGTGGAGGACCAGGCCCCAGCCTAGGGGAGCAGGCTGTGGGAGGGCCCTCGGGTGCACTAGGAGGGGGCAGAGGGGCCGTGGGGACAATGAACTGGAGAATGCTCACAGCTCTACTGAGTCATCCATGCTTCGGAAGCCAAGAGGCCAACTGCAGCCTTTCATCTTAAGTGATCTGCAAAGCACAGCCACTCAAACGCCGCATGAATGGCAGAGGCCGGGAAGGACCAGCTCTCCCGAGCCTGCTGCCTGCTTCCCGGCAGCGCCCAGCATCGGAGAACACACAGGTCACAGCAGAGTCCTCCTGCAGTCAGGCCCAGGTGTCTGCAGTGTGAGGCACCCGCGCCCAGCCTGCGACAAAGGGCAGCTGGTCTGGCCATAGCTGGCAGTGCAGGCACCCTCACTTAGCCCCCCAGAGAGCAGCAGCTGATTTGGAGGGGCGTGGACGTCCCACGCTGTGGCTGAGACCCAGAGGACATCTCTCTGCGTGACCGTGGGGAAGGCCAAGCCGCCGGCTTTATTTTGCCCTTGCCCGTTTCTGGGCAGGACGTCAGCAGCCACCAGCCTGGCCCTCCCCAAATCCAGACATCACTGCAGCATCTTATAAACTGAACACATGTGGGGATGTGAGGTGTCTCTGGCCCTACTTCAGTCCCCATACTGAAAAAAGTCTCCCCTAGGCCAGGAAGTGCTCCCCCCCACCGCACCACACTCACACACACACGCACACACACACACTGTTTCTCCCCTGCTATCGGGACATCACATCACTCACAAGGAAGCACAGGCCAGTCCGGTTCAAGCCTGTTAGCGAGCCTGGGCTGGCTGTGAAGAGCACCTGGGCCCTGGTGAGTCGAGGGACTGTGGCTTCGCTCCCAGCTGGCTTTTGCGCTGAGAGCTGAGCACGCCATCATGCCTCCACAGTCCGTGGCGGGATGGAGGGACACCTGTCAGTCCTCCTTCACATCGGGCTCGCCTGCCAGCTTTGCCCTGGGATCTCCCAGACCGCCTTCCGCAGAGCCTTTGTGGGGTTCAGAGCGGCCCTGGCTGCGGAGACACAGAGCCCTGGACTGAGGCTTCCGCGGGGTGGGCCCTTCCACTGGCCTCCGGCTCTGCCCAGCTGTGCCCACCACCAAAGCTGGTTGATGAAAAGTCACCTCCTGCAGGGGACTGGATCAGAGCGCTGTCCCCAGGTAACAGGCCTGGTTCAGCAGGAGCCCTGCTCATCCCACGAGCTTCTCTGAAGCGCATGCATCCTAAGCTCTCATTGTCTGACAAATGAGCTCCCGTGGTCCCCCCTGCCTGGGGGATGTGAAGTGAGAGACAAGCAGCCCTCTAACCAGGCCCATATAAGCCAGTCACTGTCTTTGGGCCTCTTTCCCCATCCGTGAAAGGAGCTCAGTGAAGCCCGTCTTAGGGGGCTGTTGGGAGATGAATGACACGAAGCCGGGAAAGACCCTGTCACTGAAAAGACACTTTGAAAATAGCCAGGAAAGCATTTGGACAGCAGCACATTGCACTGTGAGCGCGAGATCAGTCCCCATTACAGTGTCTTCAGCTCACCAAAACTTTGGTCCATTTAAGTTTCAAACCTCCCCTGCTGCTTTGACACCAGCCCTGAGGAGACTTAGTGAAGGCAGAGGGTGACACTTGGCAGGAAGGAAGCTGCGTGATGTCCTCCAGGAGGTGGGGCCAGCACACAGATGGGTCAGAGGGACACTGGTAGGGGTGGTCCCCACCAGGGTGGGCACCGGAGGATTCTTCCTGAGGTGCGGTAGATACAGGAGCACCCTCACACTAGCTCTGCCAGGTGCAGGTTTGGGTTGTGGAATGGACAGCAGTTATATCCCACTGCTTCACGGGGACCAAAACAACTGCATATGGGGCTACAAGTGCACCCACAGCCTGTGCGTTTACACCACCTAGGTGCCAGCTCCTCGGTGGACCCAGCCACTAGGAGGGCTGGGGCAGATAGATTGGAGGGTAGCCTAGGCGACTTAGTGGAACCCTGCCTCAGAAAAGATTTAAAAAGTAAATAAAAAGTATCACCCTCAACACTCATGTCCACACAGAGATTCTTACTGGGAAATAGCCTTTGCAGATGGCACTAGGTGACACCAAGCCTCCTGAGCAGGACCTTTAAATCCAGTGACTGCTGTCCTTATAGGAAGAAAGCAGGATGCAGAGACCCTACTGGGAAGATGGCCATGTGACATGAAGGCAAAAGAGTAAACCGAGGCAGCCCAAAGCCTGGGAGTGCCGAGGAAGGCCAGAGCTACCAGGAGCTGGACAGAGGCACTAGAGGTTCCAGGCAGAGCGCAGAGTGGATCGAGCGTGGCCCCGCACTGCAACTGTGGATCTCAGAGTCTGAGCAGCGACAGGACAGCTGTGCTGCGTGAAGCCCCCCAGCCTGCGGTAATTACTTACACAGCCCCAGGAAGCAAAATCAGGCTGAGAATAAAGGGGGAGCCTACGATCAGGGCAGGGAGTCCCGGGCTCCTGCACTGGCCTCTCTGTGCTCAGCTGCCCTTCCTTGAGCCTGGGGTGACTCCTCTAGGGACAGGGCTGTAGAAAGCGACCAAATGGAAGATGAGTGATGATTCAGTATTGGTTTTTATTTTTTCTTTTTTGAAGAGCTAGCTCTTGGATGTGTTTATTAACTCTAATTTCCCTCCCATTTTCTAATTTGTTTTTTTCCTTTTTATAACTTTTTAATGCATCTTTAATTTTCCCTTGACATAATAATTGCACAACTTTATGGGATACAGTGTGGCGTTTCAACACTGATAATATGGATGTACAATGTCTAATAATGAAATCAGGGTAACTGACATATCTGTGGCTTGGATCATACATCATTTCCTTTCTCCCCTTCACCTCCTCCTCCTTCTTCCCCTCCTCCTTCTTCCCCTCCTCCTTCTTCTCCTTCTCCTCCTTGTGGCACCGAGGATTGTACCCAAAGCCGCTATACTGACCCACATCCCCAGCCCTTTGAATTTTCACTTTGAGACAAGGTATTGCGAAGTCTCCCAGCTTGGGCTGGAACCTGGGATCCTTCTGGCTCAGCCTGCCAGAGCTGGAATTGCAGGTACGCTCCACCATGCCTGGTTATTATACGTAATTCTTTGATTCGGGAACATTCAACAATCTTCTCTGCTACTTACTATGAAGTTCTCGACTCATTGCCATCAGCCACAACTATAAACATGCTACAGAACGCTGGGGGCTACCTCGTCTCTCCAACTGCACCGCCGCCCCTGCTGGCGTCCTCTCTCCATGCCTCTCTCCCCAGCCCTCCTGAGGTTTTATAGCCACCCTTCTCATTCATGCACTTTTTGTACAGCTGTTGCCCCATCACTCTGCCTCCCCCACTCTCCCCTAGTCCCTTGCTTGTTCTCTAGCAGTCTCCCTTCAACTTTCAGATCATCTTTTTTGTTACATAGATTCCACATACTAGAGAAAACATGTCACACTTGTCTGGCTAAGTCTGGCTTATTTTTCTTAATTCCCATTTTACTGTAAATGATGTGACTTTGTTCTTTATGGCTGGGTAAGAATGCTCCATTGGGTATGTATTAGCTTTCTGTTTCTGAGACAAAATAACCTGACAGACGCAGCTTAGTGGGGGAAGGGTTTATTTCGGCTCACAGACTCAGAGACATCAGTTCAGGGTGTGCTGGCTCAGAGGCAGAGACGCCCTGGGGGAAACGCATGGTGGAGGCGCGCGGCTGACTGCGAGGCAGCCGGGAAGCTGGGCACAGGGACAAGCTGGACGGGAAGGGCACGGGGGCGGGGCCAGCCTCCGAGGTCACACCGTTGCGGCCCACCCGGACACGCCCAGAAGTGTGCGCTACAAGCAGCTAATGCTCAATAAGCAACTACTCTCCTAGCCCATCAAGTTGAAAATCACGGTTGGCCATCCAAAGTCCACTGCTTGTCAGCCTGACACCCAAACACATCTTCTGAAACTATACTTAATCTTCAAATAGAGACAATAACAGTCATAATGCCACCTAACACTGTATAATACCTTGTATAGTGCTGAAAATGCACTAATTTCTTCTTTTAAAAAAAATCTTAACATTTACACCGCTGCTCAAAAGTTCAAGCCCAAAGTCTTCTCTGAGAGGAAAGGTAAACTCATAGTTAAGAACCCCAGTAACAATCCCAGAAGCAAGTTAAATGCTCCCAAGAAACACTGCCAAAAAGCAGACATTCCCACTCAAAAGGAAGGAATGACAGCAGAGGAAGGAATTGGACCAAAAGAAGATCGAGGTTCATCAGGGCAGGCATTGCACCCAACAGCGTCGTGTCCAACATTGGAGGTACAAGACGGCATGACAGGCACAGCGGCGACGCATCCCGACATTGCAGAGCTGTGTGCTTGTCCCTGCCTGCAGCCACAGCCGAGTGCACGAGCACCTCGCAAGCCATGTCGAAGTCCCACAGCGAAGCCGGGACGGCTTTCATCCAGACCCAGCAGCTGCACGCAGCCATGGCTGACACATTCCTGGAGCACATGTGCCACCTGGACATCGACTCGGCCCCCATCACAGCCCGCAACACCGGCATCATCTGTACTATCGGCCCGGCCTCCCGCTCGGTGGAGACCCTGAAGGAGATGATTAAGTCTGGGATGAATGTGGCCCGGCTGAACTTCTCTCATGGAACTCATGAGTACCATGCGGAGACCATCAAGAACGTGCGTACAGCCACCGAGAGCTTCGCTTCTGACCCCATTCTCTACCAGCCAGTGGCTGTGGCCCTGGACACCAAGGGCCCTGAGATCCAAACCGGGCTCATCAAGGGCAGCGGTACCGCCGAGGTGGAGCTCAAGAAGGGAGCCCCGCTCAAGATCACGCTGGACAATGCCTACATGGAGAAATGTGATGAGAACGTGCTGTGGCTGGACTACAAGAACATCTGCAAGGTGGTGGACATGGGCAGCAAGATCTACGTGGACAACGGCCTCATTTCTCTGCTAGTGAAGGAGAAAGGTCCTGACTTCCTGGTGACGGAGGTGGAAAATGGTGGCTCCCTGGGCAGCAAGAAGGGTGTGAACCTCCCCGGTGCTGCAGTGGATCTGCCCGCTGTGTCCGAGAAGGACATTCAGGACCTGAAGTTTGGGATAGAGCATGGGATAGAACCACATGGTGTTCGCGTCCTTCATTCGCAAGGCTGCTGACGTCCACGCGGTGAGGCAGGTCCTGGGGGAGAAGGGCAAGAACATCAAGATCATCAGCAAGATCGAGAACCACGAAGGCGTGCGGAGGTTCGATGAGATCCTGGAGGCCAGCAATGGCATCATGGTGGCCGGTGGTGACCTCGGCATCTAGATTCCTGCAGAGAAAGTCTTCCTGGCCCAGAAGATGATGATTGGGCATTGCAACCGCGAGGGGCAGCCCGTCATCTGCGCCACGCAGATGCTGGAGAGCATGATCGAGAAGCCGCGGCCCACACGGGCTGAGGGCAGCGACGCGGCCAACGCTGTACTGGACGGGGCAGACTGCACCATGCTGTCCGGGGAGATGGCCAAGGGCGACTACCCGCTGGAGGCCGTGCGCATGCAGCACCTGATTGCCCGAGAGGCAGAGGCTGCCA